TGATGATGACAAAACCTTGTCGAAACGTTGTACATTTACTGTTATGTTAAACTTGTGTTAAAGTTTTTCTTCATTACCCATTCAACCCGTCTCCAAGCATTATTAGTCTCAAAGTGGGTTCCTCATCATCAAATTTGTTGTAGGATGTTCCCACCAGTGTTGATGTATCCCCACGACTATTGAGATGGTGTGTTCCACAAGACTGCTAGTAGGTTTTTCCTTGTGGTATTTTCCTTTCTCCAAATGCTAAATTCCAGACTGTACTCACCTGTGGACTTTCATGGGTAAAGTAGAAGGGGATCCCTACCATTCCCTAGATTGAATAAGTTGGGGCGATCTTCTTTTCAAGCTAGGGATTTTGTGGTCACTCTTTGCACTGTCTCTGGTATTGGTGTTCTCCTGGACTACCCACCACATTTCACCTCCTTTTCCTGGGTTTCACATTCCATGGGTGTTCTTTGGACACTTTCAAAGATGGTTGTCTATATCCATTGCACTGGTTCTTCCACTTTATCAATATGGAATTCTAGCTAGTTTGTGAGAGGAGGTAAGTACTGTATTGGAAGTTAACATTTTCTTACACTGAAAGTATATTTCCAATAGGTACTTGCCACCTCACACACTTCTCACCCTTCGTCCCCACTTAAAACTGATGCTTAATATCTTTCTAATCTTAAAGTGATGGTTGAGTAGAATCAAATAGAAGGAGTCATGTGCATCAGGAGGGTGTGCTGCACTCCTATTGGTGGAGGGTTGGCACATGATGATTTACATGCAAAAATGCAGTGAACTACATTGATCATGGGTTAGGTGGGAGTTTCAAGGCTTATGGCATGTGAAAAAATGTTGCATATAGAGAGCAGCACTGAATGAGAATAGCTATTATGTGAGTTTGGGTAAGTACCTATCTGAAATATATTTTCAGTCTAGGAAAAATGTTAACTTTTGATATCCGTTTAAAAGGTTTTAGAGATTATACTTGAAAAATGTAAGGTGAAAAAAATATTTTTAATCTTAACAAGAAAATCACCTTGTACTCAAGACCAGTCAGAATCTGATTCCGACTCCATATGGTAATAAATGAGTCTTTAGTAAAAATACTTAATTACAACATCTTATTTTGGGGTACATAAGGCTTGTAATGTTTGTGGTGGTTGCATGGTCAGTCAAAGTGACTGAGCCCATATAGATAATTAAATTTCTGTATTTTGAATACTCTTAGTGGTTCGTATTAGAAAATTTGTATATGATCAAGGGTAATAGTGTAAAACCAAAATAATGTAAAATTATCAATATCAGATAATTTTTCTAGTAAAACTTGTTCAAACACAATGAATTATTTCATATTAACAATTATCAGGTAACACAAAATTAAACTATTTCTTCCTATACTTTACATTTTGTATACTTTATTTTAAATTTCTTTGCATATCACTACAGTGAGATAAATTTTGGCAAAAATTACTTTAAGCCATATACATAATTAACAGGTGGAATAATTTTCAGTTTTTTCTTTATTAAGAAAATGTGTATTTATCATTCAACATGAAACAGTGTTATATTTGATAATGTTTACATTTTAACCTTTCATCAATCATATGTAGTAGATCTGTATTGCTTAACCTTAGGAGATATGTATGAAAAATTGATAATTAAACTTGCCACAGTGCTTGGACATGCACAACCACCTGTACATGGAACAATTTAACTGTTTTTGAAACTTAATAACTCATATTTGGAAGAAAACATTCAAGTGTTTTTTAAGTATGCTGTTGGAATTTTAAATTGCTGTTTTTGTGAAAACTACAATAAAGTTCTAGAAAACATCTTTTTAACAGATTCACACATTTACAGAGCTTAAAATAGCAAATGGCATTTTGCAAATAATTGATCAAATCTATAAAATGAAAAAAATTGAGTCTTCCAGTTTTTAATTTAATAAATTCCCATGTGGAAATGCAGTTTTAAAACTAAAACATGTTTATTATAAAAAAATTAAGCTAAATAAATGAAAACTGAATTAATGATAAAGTAAATAGTTTAAATTTAGTGTGCATGAACATTTGTAGGGTATCACCTTTTGACATTGGTATGGTATGAGTGAGGAATATTACCACATTTGTTGAACTTGTAGTGAAGGTGAAAAACTGAAACAGTTTTATTCATGTAGTATTTAAGTCTGTATAACAGATAAATGTGAAATATAATTAAAATAGTGAATACATTGTTGGTCATTCAACCAGATTAATGGAAAGTGTAGTAAAGTATGCAGCATAAAAAATAATTATTTTTGTTAACTTAAATATTTATTTTTCATCATCAAAAACTGCACTTTTTTAAAAATTAGTAGATATTTTTTTCTTTTCTAGACTACTGAACTTTTCAGTGGCTATGTTTTGAAAACTGTTATAATCTTCATTGCTTGAGCTGTTTTTTGTTCCCTCCATTGAAACTGAATAACTTGTGTTGATGATAGCATATAATTAAAAAACCACTGGACTTTGCATCTTCAAAGTATTGATGTGCACCTTTGTAGGCATATCCTTCTTTCTGACTACATATTTAGATACTTTTGAAAGGGCACTGTGCAATATTTATGTTAAAATACAGGTTTTATGCTAAAATAACCAAAGTGGTATGTCATCTATGCATAGTGCATACACTAATTTTTTAAACTAGCCATTGTTAATTATAGGAAATTTTAGGAACTACAGCATGTTTTATGGTTGCAAATTAAAAAAAAATATATATATATATACACACAATACAAGTCCAAGCAAGTATAATGGTTAGATGTTTTTATTTTATCATCCAAACTGCATGATGTACTTAAAACTGAAAATGTAAAAGCTCAAGTGCTTTTTTAGTCCGATGAAATGTAAAAAAAAACAAAAAAACAAGAATTATTTTGAACACTTCATTCTATAAAGTTGACCTGGTGTAGATTTCCATTATTAAAAAAAAAGTGTAACAGGATTTCAGTATTTTTTTTTCTTCAAGAAATAATATTTTGAATCCTTTCTTTGGTAATAACTACTTTAGATGTGACTGTAAATTTAATATAAACCAATATATAATTCTTTGGTACTGCTCATTTGTGTTGTGTACCTGCATAAAAATTGTTTACTATATTTAATCATGATTGCAAGTAGACACCTGACACTTGCTTCACCAACTTCGAAAGTTGGCTGCCAAAAGATAAAATTGACTTATTCAGTGGTTGTTACAAAAGTAATGAATACTTAAATTATATATTAAAATGAATCACATACCACATAAATAAATAGATTTGTTTCATTACAAGACATTTTATCTCTATTATTACTCTTTGTGTTTCAATAAGTATTCTTGAATTTTTGGCATGTGAAAAATTCATACAAAATGGCATGTTACATTTTATTCCAGACAGTGTTTTTCAGTACATGTTTAGCAAAAACAAACTTTGCTAAAAACTGATGACTTTCATACAACTATTTATATCTGTATAATTTTAGTGAACCTCCTCATTAATTAGCCATAAACTATTCTGTCTACTTTAGTGAAATAATGAAATGGTCAGTTTTGGAAGTCTTAAAAAAAACCTGAAGCCAAAAAAAAGTGCAGTAATAACCATCTTGCTATGGACAGGTCAAAGAGCACTTGTCACAACTTTTTAGTTATTTTCAACATTTAATTAAACAGCTTTACTAACAATAAAATTGGTATTAAAATGTAGTTTGTAATCAAATTTAAATATCATATATGTTTTAACTTCTTAATTTTAAAGAAAATATTGAAAACAAAATGCTAAATATCATTTTTTTGTGTGTCACATGGCAAGTCATCTTCTCTGATTGGTCAGCTTATACTGTATTATGCCTACCATACAAGATCTATAGTGTTAAATAAAATAGAAACTTAAATTTCAGACATCAACAAGCTAGAATATAAGAACCTCTCCTACCTTTTTGATTTGCTGAGGTATCAATATATTTAGTAAACATATCAGAGTAGCCTCCCACTACTCCATTCTTTTGTGCAGACTTTTTAAGTACATGTTTATACCCATCTGTAAATCTGTCAGTCATTTGTTGTTGGCTTGAAAGAGAAAGTTGGAGTTTTACTGAAAATATTGAAATCTATTGACTAAGTTGTTGCTCTGAACAAAAATGAGATTTATTAATGCACATTTTGCTTAGTTAGAAAGCCAAATAAATGAAAGTGAGTTTATTTGTACCAGTGTAGTAATTTGATATTTTTTTGGTTTTCTAAAATATATCTTTGAAATCTACAAAAATTAATTTGTTTCCCCCTTCACCTGAGAGAATGGCTTATGGTGAGGCAGTAGCAAGAGGGGTAAACAAGCCTTCCATTTCTGTGCTATCATTTAGAAGTTCACTAGATTATATGTATACTTTTATACTTGATCTTAAATTTATTTCATTTGCAGCCAGTGATACTATAATGTTAGTTTTATGTAAAATATTTCCATATTTAGATAATGTATGTTGCATTTAGATTAGATTACTTTGAGATTCCGTCAGAACAACATTGTTTATGCACAGTTTAAGTGAAAAAAAAAAGTATCCCATTATAAGTTTTAAGTATCCCATAAAGTATCCCATTATAAGTTTTAAGTATCCCATAAAGTATCCCATTTTAAGTTTGTGAACTTAAGATTATTTTACCCACTGTCTTTCACTGTACATGTTATTGAGAGGTGCTAAAAGTACTTCCCAATTTAACCACTTGTAATCCTGTCGTTGTTGTCTACATGACTAAAATTTTTTGTGATGCATCTTGCATACGTACACAATCTCCATCTGTATTATCTGCACTTCATTAATTTATGTTCAGTGGAAAGAGAGTTGGCAAGTAGTAGTTGGAATTGTTCTTGCATTTTAATACTTATCAGTAATAATGTCAGTTATGACTTGCTTTGCATTTCATTTTGGTCTGAGCCTTTTCTTTGATGATGTATTGTATAATGATTATATAATATAATTGAAAATAATATATTAGACATGAGAAATGACATGTGAAATTGAATGTGTACATAAATAAAATATTCTAGATTATATTTCATGTGTTGAAAAAATTATTTGGTTATTTAATTTATTGAAATATTTCATGTATGATTTTATGCTCTGGGAAAAACTTTAAATATGATGGATATCTGTAATTGTCATACTATTCCATGATGCAACTTTCATAAACATTTTATTATCTCATAACATCTAGTTATCCGTGTCTGTGTTAGTTAGTTGCTTATTTAAATGTGTGATTTATCATATATCTAGTTCAACAACAAGACAGTGGCTCAAGTAGCTTCAGACATGTTGTTACTGGTGTGTGATCATGCTGTGAGCCTTCAGCAATATCATCCAGACATTCCACAAAAAATCATTGAGGTATTGCTTTTGATATTATAAGTTTCAGTATTCTTGTTCAAAATGATATATCACTTGTAAATCTTTACAATATTATTATTTCAGTTGTGATTCCTAAAACGTTTTGTGAACAGTTTTTAGTTGGCAAGAGAAATATTTATAAGCTTTGTTTCTAGGGGTTAAAAGTAATTTAAATCTCTGTTGCTATACATAATAAGTTTTACTTGAAATTTGTATTATTTCTACAGAACAATAAATCTACAATGATAAGATCTAAAGTTATCCTTTGATAGACATTGAGATATTTTTTGTCCTATATACATACATAAATAGTATTGTTCTTGCTGTCTTTCCATAGCTGTGGATTAAGAACCTTTGTTTTTTTATTAGAAGATCACATCAATTGTTTCATTTTAGGTTTTCGTGCATCTGAAACCCATTGCATTGTTTTAAAACAACTTACCTATACATGTTTATTAACATGAAGAATTTTAAAGAGTAGTGATCTTTTTGTTTAATAATTTATGTAGTATTTGCTTTATTCTAATTCTTTCTTTATTCGTTTGCATAATATTTGTGGTCTGAATGCTGCATTTTTTTAATAAATAACAGCTTGTTTATTTTTGATTATGAATTGAATAGTTTTGTGTGATTTAGTTGTAAGTGGAGTTTATGTTGATTGTTGTAGTGTCACTTATACATTTAAAAAGAGAATCAGAATGTTATCAAAAATAGCTAAGTGTACCTGTTTCAAAAATAATGCTTTATTCCAGGTTATAGCATCTACTTTGTCTAGTCTCCTCCCATCAGCAGATGCCTCTCCACCAGAAGAAGATAAAAATGTATTTATTGAAATATTTATTGTTCTTTCTCTGATATTTAATCTGTGATTTCAAGGGAATAGTAATTAGAAATATTAGAAGCATGCATTTATTATAATTTATTGTAATGGATTTTAATTCATTTACAGAAAGCTATATGGATTATCTTCATTAATAATGGTTGTGAGGTTATATAAAGTAATGGTTTTTTTGTATAATCAGTGCTTTTTTTTTTATAGATTTTGTACGTTGTATTTTCTTGTACTATTCCTTTCCACTTGATAGTTTTTTTTGTAATAATTACTTAAACTAACCATGGTGTTTCTTTATTTTACTGTTCTCTGGCATTTCACTATCTAATATTCAAATGGTTCTTATTTTATAATTAACCACTATGTATTTGAATGTTGTTGGTGGGGGAGTAAAAATGGAACATTTAATGTCTTGAGAGTTTATAAGGACTCAGAAGTACAAGTCAGTTTTGAGTGTTGATGCAAACATGATGTAACTAGAAAGCAAAATACAACATTGATTTGACAGAAAACCTGCTAAAGAGGATATAGTGATTAGTGATAACAAACTGGAAGTGATATATAAGTCATATCTTATTACTACCAGAATCACTTTTTATGGAGCTTTTAAATTTTTTTCATCTCTAAAAATTCTCTTTCATATGAAATTAAACTAACACACCTAATTGGTACATTTTTGTAGAATATTAATAAATATCATGTCATCTTTATTATGTCTACATTTAGCAGTTTGGCAGAATAATTCTGCTGTGAAGTGGGTTCCACATTTTTAAAGAGTTTAATAACCCTTTCGGAACAGGCAGACATAAAACATGTCTGCTCGACTGGAGAAGGACATTTTTGCAACAATACATATGGTAACTCTGAGTTGTCTTTACAAAACCTGGTAACATTATATTAAAGTTTATAAGGATTTTGAATACAGAGATTGACATTATTTTAATCACATCTTTTTTAATAAAAATTATTATATATTAATAGTAGTTATTTGCACTCAAACTCTAAATAGTTTGAGTGCAAGGTGATTTTCATTTTAAGTATAAAAATACTTTTCTTGATCTTATAGTCTTCATATATCATTTGCATAACCTTTATGACCTCCTAAATTAATATAAAAAATTTTTAAGGTGAAGGTTTATATTTCATTTTCTCTACCATATCACTAACTCTAGCTATTATCTTCAATGTACAATGCAATGAAACGTTTTAAATTAGGAAACAGAAAAAAGTACATACTTTTTAATGGTTTGTAGAATATTTTTAAAGATCTTCTTTTGGTTATATTCATAATTCCAGGTCTTTTCCTTTTCACGTATAGTTAATTTTTAATGTTTTATTTTCCTTTTCTGTCCTTTACCATTTATTATTCAACTTGACACAAGTCAATGGTACCTTTGGGACATATCTCTGGCAGAGATGCACAACCCTTCAACAAAATTTTTGTGCACCATATAATATCGTAAACCTTGAGGACTGATGTAAAATGTGATGTATATTTAGAAATGTTTGAACCTTTCAATTATGCATTTTAAGACATACATAATTAACTAAAATGTAAAGTAAGACATAAGTACAATTAACTGTATCTCTAACTATAGCATATTTAGATAAACAAATGTAAGTGCTATAGTTGATAAAGAAGCCAACAATACTACAGTCAGTTACATGTACCCTGTGACAAAAACTGCATGCCAATTTCAAAATAGTGTAATAGTGGATTATAGTGTAAAATGAGGTTTTTATAATGACAATATATATGCATATGTCACCTCTACATGTAGGCTATAAAGCTCAAACAAATCTTGTGAAAGTGGATGTGGCACTGGTCAGGGGTTGACAAGATTTATTACTTGTTTCAACTTTATTCATCCAGAGAACTTTGAAATGTGCGTGTCAGTAGGTTTAGTAAATATCTTCTTTTCTAGATGTACATCTACAGAACTGGCATTATATTATTGAAGATACAATAAAGTAAAGATTATTCATAGCTTGTGGGTCACATGACAATACATCTGAAGTTTTAAGTCATTTTTTAAAGGTTGTTTTGAAATAAAAGACTTAAAACTTAGAAAACATACAACTTTGAATCATAACATACTTTATAATGTTAATTTCATTCACATACATTGATAGTAAAGGTGTTTAATTAAATTTTGAATGTAACACAGTGACTTGCTCAGAAAAGTGTTTAAAGGGATACCTGTCATTAACTCTTTCAGCACGGGCTTGGTCCCTGGGACCGGCCTTGTAACCATTTTGTGCTTGTTATAGTTCTCATGCTATAACTTTTATATTAGTAAGTGAATGTTAATGAAATTTGGCAGATTATCAGTGAACATTACAGTACTTTCATACGCAAAATATCATGTATTTTTTATTAAGTCTTAAGGTTTATAAAGCAATGTTTTTCTCATGTCTATTTTTTCTTTTCACATGTTACCTATCTATCATACAAAGTAATATTCATTTTAAGATAAAAAATACTTTTATGCATCAGAAAATTTTCAAATTTCACATGCGAAATCTTTATAATATCGAGATAGTTACCAAACATTTCTTAAGAAAGAACTTTTTATTTTTTAACTGTTATTTTCAGTAATGAATCTCTCTCTTTGGGTTTGGTAGATTTGACCGATCTTGCAACCACCATA